CAGGTAGGCCACACCCCTGGGGAAACTCCCCCTAGACTGACCGGACGCTTAGGACGCAGTCATGTGATCCATCATGGGAACCACCACTCACAACTGGAGTCCAGCCAAGTTGACACATCTTCAACTATCACACAAGGGGTCAAAACATATCCTCAAGGGAAAAAGAAAGAATGAAAAGAAAGACTTTTCTAAACACAGCATCGTGGTATTACCATGGTAGCCAGGCTGACGGTTACACAAAAGCTGCATATCAGGGATGTGGGTCCCAGTTAGAAGATGTTAGAGAATTGGAGCAGAGCCAAAAGACCCTAATTCTCATCTTCTCTGTGCCCCGAACCACATTTATCATGTGGGAGGTGATGAAGGCTTTTCAAATAACTTAAATGCACTCCTTTAAGTGCTATGTTAAAAATTAACAACAAGTCCAAGCTGCAGTTATAAACATTGGTGACTGGACTGTGTCTCTTGTGGGAATGTCCTCAGAGGGAATGATAAAATACCTCTTTAAAGAGCAAAGATGTCACTTTGAAGACTAAAGGCGCCTGACCCAAATCATTGTCTTTTCTATAGCCTTATATGCATATGAAAGCTGGACAATGAATAAGGAAAATGGTAGAAGAATTGATAAATTTGAATTATGGTGTTGGCAAAGAATATTGACTATGCTAGGGACTGCCAGAGGAATGAATAAATTGGTCTTGGAAGAAGTACAGCTTGAATTCCCCTTAGAAGCAAGAATGGTTAGACTTCGTCTCTCATATTTTGGTCATGTTATGAGGAGGGACCAGTCCCTGGAGAAGGTTATTATGCTTGCTAAAGTAGAGGGTCAGAGAAAAAGGGGAAGATCCTTGACAAAATGGATTGTCATAGTGGCTGTAACAATGCTCTAAAGCATAACAACAATTGTGACCATGTGCAGTATTTAATTCTGTTGTACATAGGGTCACTATGAGTCTAAATCGACTCTCGAAACTGATTCAACGGCACCTAATAAGAGGCCTCTGCACTCCCTTGCCCATTTATATTTTAATATTCCATGATATATAGATCAGCTGATTCTATGCTAATTTCTCTATATCAGGTTGGTAAAGATTGTGTTACTGACGATCTTCTACAATAGAAGTAGTTAGAGATAGACAGTTAATATACTCAGCTGATAACCAAAAGGTTGGAGGTTGCAGTCCATCAAGAAGTGCCTTGAAATCTACTTCATAAAAATTAGCCATTGAAAAGTCTATGGAGCACAGTTCTTCTTTGATATACATGGGGTCAGCATGAGTCCAAGTTGACTTGATGAAACTGTTTTATCATTATCTTTAGCTTTCTAAATAGTGATAATCATTTCAAAGAAATGCACTTAAAATTTTGCTTATGACCAAGAAAGCTTAATATTTCTAATGTTATATGTAAGTACTCAGATTTCTTAAGGAAATAATTTTAATAATAGAAAATAAGATAAGAAATAAGGCATCTACAAGTATATCTTTAAAAATTTTAATCTTCAGCATGGTAGATTTGACTTTTTTCCCATTAATTTTAGGGGGATGACACCTTGCTTGTTCCCATCCATGCCTACCCTGTCATGAATACACTGGATTTTCCTTCATTTATAAGTCTATCAAATGTTCTACTAGGGGAAAGGTGAGTTACCAAAATGAACTGCAATTAGAAATAGACAGTTAATGTACTCAGCTAATAACCAAAATGTCATAGAATGTGAAAAGCTAAAAGACACTCACATATGTAAATAGTTAGACTTGTGTTTTTCCTAATGAAGGGTTATCCTTCCAGCTCAGTTAGACTGAACTTGTAGTTGCAAAAGGCAAAACAAAACAAAACAGAAATCTCATAACCAAGAAAAGCAATTTATTGGGTCATTTAACTGAATAGTGCAGGATAGATCTTTAGGTATGGATGGATCTAGGAGTTAGATCAGATTGCAGGAATTTGACTCTCTCTGTGTCTTGGGTCTGCTACTCTGTGCAGGCTTCCTTTTCAAGAGGAAGATGGGGCATCTTGCCTCATGGGGCAAGATGGCCATCAGAAGCTGCTGGAACTAGCCAGCAAGCAATGGGTGTGGTTGAAAGATTTATAGAGGTTGGGGGAAATTCAAGCAAAAGACCCAGGATTGAGTCTTATTGGACCAACTTGGATCATATGTCCATTCATTGACCAATCTCTGTTTTTAGATGAAGGGGGAAATGGATGCAGAGAAGGCAAAAACAACAAATTCGCTATATAATCCAAATCTTAGATTACCCCCTTCCTCTTACTGGGAAAATGGTTAATGATTTCAATTGTAATGTAAGATATATCTTGTTCTTTCATGAAATGTTTATTGAATACCTACTACCAGGCATACAAAGGAGCTCTGGTGGTGTAGTACCTAAGGTATTTGACTGCTAACCAGAAGGCTGGCGGTTCAAATCCCACAAACCACTCCTCATAAGGAAGATTGGGCAATCTATTTCCATAGTGATACTGCCTCAGAAACCCAAGGAGGGTTCACTATGAGTCAGATCCAAAACCATAGTTTTGGTTTTGGGTTGTCTTTGAGAGGATTTAAAAAATTTAGGTCTGGAACCATTGCCTTGCCTCAGCTGATGTATGATGCTCCTTCTCACCATACCTCCCGATGAGCTCTGGACTCACCATCTCTGTTTACTTCTCATTAAACAACTCTTGAAAAATTATAAAATAAATGATACACTTAAGGGTATATAATAATACACTTATTAAATATACAGGAAACATACAATTTAAATAATAAAAATTAATGAATACTTAAGACATAAAACATTACCAATAACTTTGAAGCCACTGTTTTGAATTTTGTGATAATCATTTCCTTGATTTACTCCAACAGTTTTGAGACATGTGTATGTACCCCTAAATAGAATATTGTTTAGCTCTGCCAGTTTTTGATGTTTATATAAATGGAATCATACTTTAGGTAAGTTCTTTTGTAACTTGCTTTTTTTCAGTCAACATCATGTTTTTGTGGTTTGAACAAGTAGCTGTAGTGTCCACTCTATGACCTTACTACATTCTTGTTATCTACTTTGTTTATGGACTTGTGAGTTATTTATACTCTTTTTTTTCTTTTGTTATGACAAATACTACTGTTGTATATCCTCGTACATGTCTCCTGGGCACATGTTCCAGAGTTTCTCCAGAGCATATACCCAAAAGTGGAATTGCAAGTCATAGCCAAGATTCAGTGTTACTGTGTGATGTTTTCTAAAATGGTTTGCACAGTCACCTATAATGCATGAAATTTATTGCCAAGACTAGGTATCATCAGACTTTTACTTTTTTAATGACTTTTGTGTTCTTGGATCCTTGCTGTTCCATTTTTATTTACTCTCCCCAAAACATTCTGCCAGAACTCTAGCTTACTGCATCTTCCATCAATAAACCACTACTGCCTTTGCTAACTCTTCCTCTCCTCTCCCACACCTCAGTATTAAGTGCCATATATGACCCCAAGAGCCTAACACAGGAGAGTCCCTCTGGGAAGGCCCAACTTATTGTATGCATTTTGAAGTTGCTAAAGGGGCAAAGTGGCGGCATCTTCTGACCTCCTCTAACTACACAAGAGAAGAACAGAATCACCATCAGTAGCCCAAGGCCTGTTCTTATGAGGCCGGACATGCTGCCATCCTCCAGCCTTCTTACCATCCTTGGCACCAACCCTTCCTCCTGCAGCACCCACCACCTCTCTGCTGGGTTCAATAATTTGCTGCAGTGGCTGCACAGAACTCACAGATTAGGGGGTTTATTAGGGAAGCAACAGGCTATGATTCAAGTTCAGGGACACGCTCAGTCTCAGCCAGCCATCTCTCAGCTGACAGTCTCTCTCAGTAGCACATCTCTATCTCAGCAGTGCATGTCTCTTTTCAGCAGCATCTCTCTCATATCTCTCAGCTGTATGTCTTTCCCAGCAGTCAGAGAGACTCTCTCTGCCTCTAGGAGGGCTCCTTTTGAGCCTGGCAGAGTGGCCAAACTAAATAATCCCAACATCAGAATTCTATACACCTGAGAGAGAGTGAACTTCTCAGAAGATTGCTTCCTGCTGGTTCAACGGAAATACTACCAAGTGTATAGCTTTAACAACCAGCTAATCAGATGCTCATGGCAGTGAGAGTTACAAAGATTAAGGCTAGAAAAGACATGCCAGGTAATGTACTACACCGCAGAAGTCAAACGTAGCTATCTCCTTTAAATGAGCAAGTGTAGTGATTTTTACCAAAATCAGAGAGGAAAGAAACAACTAACTGCCTAATTCACAAATTCATTTTTCTTTCCTTGCCCCACCCTCCAAATTACTTTTTGTTTGGACCATAACCCAGTCTTATGCATTAAAAACAAAGTTTTATGAAATTGGTGAAGATAATATGCCTTACAATGCAGACATCGGTCTTTGGTTCTGTTTTTTTTTTTTTTAATTGTGATTTGGGTGAAAGTTTATGGAGCAAATTCATTTTCCATACAGCAGTTCTTATACATTCTGTTTCATGACATTGATTGCAATTCTCATAATATAAAAGCTCTCTTCCCACTTCCTCCCTATGGTTACCTTTTTCCTGTGTCCTTCTTTGCTATGAATTGCTGCCCATTGAACTGTCTTCCTATGCATATGCTACCTTTCTGATCCTCCATGAGTGATTGTTCTAAGGAGTGTACCTATGTTTTGTAAACATTCATCTTACATGTCTGTCTGTTATTTGGCTGGAAGTCACAGGAATGAGTTCAATTCCAGGCATAAAGGGTGACTAAGGGCCATAATCTCAGGGATTTCACCAGTCTCTATCAGATCAATAAGCCTGGTCTTTTTTGTGATTTTGAATTTTTTCCACATTTTTATCCCATTCTATCCAGGATCTTCTGCACTGATCCCTTTCTGAGTGGTTGACAGTTGTAGCAGTGTACCATCTATTCTTCTGTAGGTCAAGTAGGCTGAGGTTTGCATGGTCCACTAGTCTCTTGGACTAATTATTTCCATGTTTCTTTAGTTTTCTTAATTCTTCTTTGCTCCAGATGAGGAGAAACCAATTGTTGCATCTAGATGGCCGCTTGCAAGCTTTTAAAACCCCAGTGGCTATTCACCGAAGTAGAATGTAAAACAATGTTTTAGTGTAGTATATTGTGCCAATTGAGCTTGATATGCCCCGCAACCATGGTCCCAACACCACAGGTCCAACACCTCACTCCTTCAGGGTGGTTGACTGTGGCTAAAAAGTTATCATAACTTTGCCACCTGTTAGTTGTATTTATATGGACATTCTTTTTTTT